TGCCCTACTCAATGAGCTAGAGGGAGTTGGGTAAAATGACACAAAAAGGTAAGGATAGTATTAGACTAGTGACAGTTGCAGAAGAGGAATCGGTCAGGAGCTATTAACAGTTTAATTGATACGCTTTTATGACGAAGTGGGTTTTTAACGATTTTTTGAAGGAGTGGAGACTGGGTGAGCATCTAACGGAGGAGGGGAGCGAGTTCCACAGAAACGGTGCAGCCCTCGAGAAATCTTGAAGGCGAGCATCAGAGGTGGGAGTACAGACAGAAGATAGACGTAAGTCTTCAGCAGATCGTAAGGGCCTAGGCGGGACATACTTGTGTATAAGGGAGGATAGATAGGTGGGAGCATCATTATGTAGAGATTTGAAAGCAAGAACCAGAATTTTAAATTGAGCTCTATATTTTATAGGAAGCCAATGTAGGGACTGACAGAAAGGTGAGGTATGGGAGGTGCGGGCGGACAGGAAGATGAGCTTCACCGCCGCATTCATTATGGACTGTAACGGCGCAAGTTGGGAGCACGTAAGACCACTGAGAAGCAGATTACAGTAGTCAAGGCGAGAAAGGACAATGGAATGGACCAAGATTCTATGATGTTTTCAGTACTAAGGAGAGGGTTGAGGCAAAAGGAGGTTAAATTAAAAGCCTTTGCTATCTGCAATTATATATTTCCCTGCTATGCATAATTATCTTCTGGTCTGAAGTCAGAGTAGCATATCTGAACAGAGCATACAATGGTAAAGGATAAGAACAGCTTCACGTCGGTGGATCAGTCGGAGTGACTTGTTTACAGTGACTGATGTGTATCCACGTTGCTTTTCCTTTTAGTTTCACTGAGGTAGCCGTAGTCAAGAGCACTTGGAATGGACCGTCAAAACGTGCATCAAGTTCTTTCCTCACATGCCTCCTTATCACCACCCAATCGCCAGGCTGCAGTTTGTGAGTTGCAGATTCAGAGTCTGGATCTGTAATAGAATCAAAGACTTGTTTATGCACCCTGCCTAATCTATGGTGTAGGGCCTGTACATAGGCAGTCATACTACCATGCTGCATCTGGAGGGTCTGGGGAAAATAGAAGCCTGTCTTTGGGGCACATCCAAACAGTATCTCAAAAGGGGATAGGCCATGTCTAGAATTGGGTCTGAATCTCATAGAAAAGAGTGCTAAGGGAAGGCATTCAGTCCAGGGCTTCACTGTGTCTTGCATGGCTTTTGCAATCTTGTTCTTTAAGGTGCCATTTGCCCTTTCTACTTTCCCACTACTCTGAGGGTAATAGGGGGTGTGGAAGGCCTGACTGATCCCTACGGCTTTCATAATTTCTTGCATTATTTCCCCAGTGAAATGGCTACCTCTGTCACTTTCAATCACTTCAGGTACTCCGTATCTACATACCAGTTCCTTCAGAAGCTTACTTGCTGTGACCTTCGTTGTGGCTTTCGACACTGGGTAGGCCTCAGGCCAACCTGAAAACAGATCAATGCACACCAACACATATTCATACACTCCTACCTTAGGCAGTTGAATAAAGTCTATCTGCAGTCTTTGAAACGGGTAAAGTGGCCTTGATGTGCTTACTTGGTGTTTAGACAGCATGTCCTAGATTGTTTCTAGCACAAATCATGCAAGCTTGGGTGTGTTTAGCTGCTACAACAGTAAATCCGGGCGCTACTCATTGGGTGTTTACTATGCTGTTCATGTGTATCTTGGATAGATGTGTAGGTCCATGGGCAATCTGGGCCATCATGGGGTACAATACTTGTGGCAAACACAGTCTTTTACCTTTCCTCCACATTCTGTCATCATCAGGTTCTGCATCTTGTTTCCTCCAGAGGTCGTGTTCTTCCTTGCTTGCCTGTCTTTGTAAGCTCAACAGTAAATTGTAGTCAACGGCGTCATCCGTAAGAACAACTTGTGGGAAGGTATTACCTGTAGAGGGATGAACTTGAATTGCTGCTTGCTTGGCAGCTTCGTCTGCTTTGTGGTTTCCTCTTGAGAGCTCATCTGTGATCTTCACGTGAGCTGCCACCTTGATGATGCCTACTTGAGTGGGTAGCAGGATAGCATCCATAAGTGCACTCTTGATTGGAGTTCCTGCTGAAGTGAGAAAATCACAGGCCCGCCATATACCTCCAAAATCATGGGCTATACCGAAAGCATAGCGAGAGTCTGTATAAATTTTAGCAGTCTTACCAGAAGCCATTTTTACACGCTTCAGCGAGTGCCTTCAGTTCTGCCTCCTGTGCAGAGCAGTGAGGAGCGAGTGGTTCAGCTTTTATTACCTCATTTGCACAGACTACAGCATATCCAGTGTGGAAATTACCATTCTCATCAGCATATCTGGAACCATCTACAAAAAACTCAAAATCTGAATTAGATAATGGAGAATCAATTACATGCAAAGAACCTGCTGTTTCTTGTGCCAATAGTGCTGCACAATCATGGGGTACCTGGGCATCAGCTAACTCATCTGGTGAAAGTGAATTTACAAAAAGATCAGATGTACAAGTACCATTCCCACTAGCCCCACTCCCCCCTTTTAAATCCAGGGGAAGTAATGCAGATGGATTTAACACCATACACCTTTTCAGAGTAACATTAGGTGGCATAAGCAAGGCATATTGTCACTGGGTTATCTAAGACAATATCAGTGGCTTTGTCCAGAAGGGCAGTAACAGCCCCACTGCCCTAACACATGAGGGGGCACCCCTGGCAACAGTGTCCAAACTGGTGAAGTAGTACGCTATTGGTCATTGTTTACCATCATGGTCCTGTGTAAGGACAGATGTAGCATTTTCTGCTGCATGGGTTCATTTAAAGGGTTTGTTTTATTTGGCGAGACAATCTTACAGGGGCTGCATGTAGATTGCTGTAGAAGCCAAGGTCGGCAGTTTGAATCGTAGCTGGGCTAGGCTGCAGGGGAGGGGGAGGTGTAATTTTTTGAACTGCAGTCTGCCTCTACCAAGAATTTCAGTAAGGAAAGAGTGTTTACAATACAAGTCTCCATATTATCGCAACATAGGATTAGGTCCTCAATATACTGCAATAAAATTCCGTTATTTGGCCTTTGCCACTCTTCGAGAATCTGTGCCATAGCCATGCTGTACATAGTGGGTGAGTTTTGTGCGCTCTGTGGCAATACTATCCAAGTGTACTGCTTGTGTTAATGTGTAAATGCAAATAAAAACTGACTGTCGGGATCCAGGGGGACACTGAAAAATGCATTTGCCAAGTCAATAACAGTAAATACCTTAGAGGAAGGTGGTGTATGTGCCAACAAGGTGTGTGGGTTGGGAACATTAGGGATAATGAGTTCAGTTACAGCATTAATTGCCCTCAAATCATGTACCATACGGTAGACCACAGGTTTCCCTTTCTCTTGCTTTTTCTTAATTGGCTACAATGGTGTGTTACAAGGGGAGGTGGTCTGGACAATTACCCCTGCCTTCAGAAACTCTTGCACAGGTTGGGAAATAGCATCTTCCTGTGCTGGGCTTAGGGGGTATTGTTTTTGATAGGGAGGTTTGGCTCCGGGCAGGGGATTCACTTTGACTACGGGCACAGAGAGTCTGCCTGTATCTGTCTTCACTGTAGCCCATAAGGAATCAGGGACTGAGGACAAGTTAATGGTAGGTTCTGGCACATGGCTGGGCATAGTGAGAGTTGCCAGAACATTTGAAAGAGATATCATTTGTTTGTCCTCCAAAGGCACAGACAATGTTACTTTTCCAGTGGGGCTATACTGGATATTTGCACTAAGAGCAGACAGTATATCATTGCCTTGTAGATTAGCAAGGGCATCAGTATATTTAGTAATTATTCTAGCACAAATGGGGCCAGCTTTTAGGGTAACAATCTGTTTTAAATCCATCCAAGTATACTGGTAAGTAGCTTGAATGGTGGATAGAGCCTGGACTAGAGCTAAGGGGGCCTTTCCAACATCCGGCTGCTTCTGTATTATTGCCAGTTGTTCACTGGGTGTCCAGAGCTTATATTCTTCCCAGTATTGGATACCTGAGCTCGACTGTCTCTTCCCATGGTATACGCTCTCAACCTTGGGTATCATGGGAGTAGTAAATTGTGGAGCTAATGGCCCCACTGGGGTGTCTATGGGGGCAACTAGAGGTTCCCTTAAGTCTGGTGGACTACCCTCCTTCTTGCCCATTCTGGTACCCTAGAGGTCCAAAACATTGATAATATGGTACACCTTTTTCTAGTGGTTTCTCTACAACCACATTTAGTTAATTCAACAGCAGTATCATGCCATTTTTGGGCAACTTCTACTAAGTCATTATCTTCTAACCAACCTCTGTAATTTGCCATAAATTCACTCCATATATGTGGGTCTAGAGTGCCCTCTTAACATTCTCAGCTGCTCCTTGTTCTTTGTGATGCTTGACAATAGTCAAAGCCATAAATCCCCCTTGAGTGCTTTCAGAGCTACCCATCTTAAAACTTGTAAGGGTTAATTACTTCCTTACACAAGACAAACTGTACAAAAACAGTGTATTTAACACTTATGACCAATGCAGTGGAATTTTCACAGTCTTGTCTTCGTTATTCTAAACACAGATCAGGAGATCAGCCCTTGGAGGATTCTAACTCAAATTATAAAACAAATGACAAGGCAAACAATAAAAATAACGTAAAATCCACAGATATATTCCACTATCTCAAGATTCCTTTAAATGAAGTAAATTAAGGAGTATTAGGTATAGATGTCATGATGCTTTGAATGCTCAATGATACATCTATAGACAGATAAATAAAGTATAGAGTATATAGTTATAAGAAGGTAAAGGAATGTAGATGGTATAGTAATAGAGATATACTGCATATCAAATTTGCAGTGACAGATAGTAATAACCAATCTCTCCCTTCCCATATACACTTCTAAGCAAAAAGTGGAGCAGACTAGATTAAACAAAAATTAAACATAGAAAACCCTATAAGGCAAGCTAAGTATCATGCCGTGATATGTGTTAAGTGCCCATAAGTGAAAAAATAAAAATAAAACGCCTGACGCGCGTTTCGGTGCTGTGAAGCCAGCACCTTCGTCAGAGGCAAACAGGCTGTAAATAAAAAAGCTCTTAAATACCTTATTCTCCCAACATCTGAATCCTTATGCAGCCAATCAGGAAAGTGTGTTCACGCCAGCAAATCTATGCTTCTCGCGCCAAAACATTAAGTGGGCGGAGCCAGCCAGTTCACGTGATCACAGATTACATGAGATTAACATGATTGAGCTGTCCAAGTCTGCCTGTATGTTTATGTGTGCACTGAATAATAAGGAGGTTAGCACCACCTTGTGGTCAATGAACAAAACAAAAGACAAAATACATTTAAAAGTTTTGTTCAAATTTGATATGCAGTATATCTCTATTACTATACTATATATATTCCTTTACCTTCTTATAGCTATACTCTATACTTTATTTATCTGTCTATAGATGTATCATTGAGCATTTTCAGCATCATGACATCTATACCTAATACTCCTTCATTTACTTCCATTAGACAAATATAGAGAGACAAGACTCTTTTATCTCTTGAAGTCTTGTATATACTTTATTTCTTATTATTTTATTCTCTGATATGTGTATTTTTTTGGATTATAATCTTACCAGCATTACTAATCCAGCACTAATTGATAATTAAATATTTTGACCTCACTATAGAGGATTTTTTTGGGCAACATTGTATATGTATGCTAATATGGAATGTTTCTTGTGCTAATTAGAGGTAGCACTTTAGAGTATTCTGTTTCTATTTGTCTTTTGGTTAATATATTATATTTTATATAGATAGCATTGCGGTTGTCCACTGAGCCAGATATAATTAAGCTCATAGTGGATACTTGATATAATCCAATATCTATATATTTTCCATATATTGTGGAGCATTTAGGCACTTTATTTTTATTTTTATTGTATAACCCTCACATTTTAGGGATATCCAAATATTATTTAAGTATTTTTGTTTAGACTACTGTACATCTCCAGGATACACAGCGAGTCACAATTTTCTTTGAGATTGTGATAAGCATTGTGTTTTTCTTTACACTATGGAATATGTAAATAACAATAATATAAATAATTAACTATCTAATTTAAATGCTAATGCTGTTCCACTTTATATAGACAGTAGCCACATGGTGGCAATGTGCATCAAAATTAAGTATCTATACTGAAAACAAGGTTTATATTATTATTTTAATATTATTTTATTATTTATATAGCGCTGTACAATTTATACAAAGTTAAAAATTTTATGTGCCAAAGTGGTTCATTATTGTATAGAGCCTGTCTACTCTAGATGAAAGACATGGATAAGGATATTTGATTTGAACTGTGCCAGCATTACCCAACTCATGCTCGTAATCATTTATACCAGCTGTTTCAATAAAACTGGAGTAAACATAGTTAACTTATTTGAATTTGCCATGAATGGAAAACTCCTGCCCTATACACATACATGTAGAACCAGGAATAAATCCTAAATGCAGCATGTCATATCTTGCACTTTTTAATATAATTTACCCTGATATAACAATTATATATACTAACTGATTATATTGCTAAAGGATGCACTGTTTCCAGTGGCAGTAGAACATTTTATTAACAATTTTTTAACTAATGTTATTTTCACAGGTAGCCCCCGGTCCCACACTGAAGCATCAATGTGAAACAAGCCGTTCCCATGGAATGGAGAGCGTGGAACTGTGGGATGGGTGTCAGAAAATCTGAACACTTTCAGGCAGTTTCTCAGAAACCTGCTGCCCTCTGCCCCACTTCGGTACGCCTCTGGCCCCCATCTTGGCTCCCTGTCAGTCATTGCCCTTTTTTCTTATTGTAACAAAATAAGTGGAGGGGGAGAACAGAAACAGTGGGGGGGAATTTGAAAAAATTGTGCAAATACATAATACAAGAGGAATCATCAATACAATGTGCCTGTTGATTCATGTGAATTCCATAGTGATTGCCCCACTTTTTTTATCAGCTTAATAAAAATACATATTTCTGACATCAGAAACAGAGGTGCATGAATGATGATTTTGTTAAAGGGACACAATAAGCACAAAAACACCTAATCCCATACAGTGCATAGAGCCCCTGGGGCCATGCCATGGACTACTGTTAACACTGTAAATTTTTTGATCGGTTTCACGCAGAAGGAAGGTCCCCAGCCACCTGTGGCATAGCCCCCTTTCTGCTGCATGGGCTTCAACATTAGCTCAAATTGCAATGGGCAGCATTGACAAGCCAAGAGCATCAGTGAAGCGCTCCCATTCCATCAATACTGCCCATCATTGGTGTGAGTTGGCATAGCTAATGCAGAGTTGAACTCAGCCTCAACCACACTTTCAGTGAGGGATTCTTCCACTTTTAGTACTTTGCGCCATTAATCAATATTAAATACTTTCAACAAATCTCCCCCATAGCTTGTGCTTCTCCTCCTCTAGAGAAATGTATGCATTAGTTGGGCCAGGGTTAACTGAATTATGATGTCAATATAATATCTAATGGTATTGTTTCCAGAGATGTCATAGTTCCCCTTTAAGAAAGCCTAAGAAGAACGTGAAACACATTTAAACAGTATTTGAGGTTCAGCTCTAGACGCAATCTGTTCTGTCTCCTTATTTGAACTTGAGATATCCTTTAATAAACAGCTTGAGCAGGGATATACTTAATAAGGTTCTAAAAATTTGGACTAGAGAGATATACTGTGAGCTAAATTACAATGGCGCAGTTAAGTGAAGGACTGGTTTCTTTCTCACGGCTTCCCTGTGGTCCACTATAGGACATTGAGCAATGAATTATAGAACCGTTAGCTTCCCACTGTCTATAAGGGGGTATTTTCTTTTGTACTCAGATAAATAACAAGTGAGTATTGTTAGATTCTGATTTTCATCATTTTAAATTTTATTTTTTCCCCTTTTTACCACAGCAGTATCCTTCTGTGATTTGATTACGTGTAGGTGTATAAATGTATTTGTGGGGTCTCTAATTGTGGATGACTCCAGCTATTGTTTAGTTTGATTATTTTGACTTATTTATGGCCCCCCGTGATTTTTCTGTTATCATTTACAGAAATCTACAATGTAAGCAAAATGCTACATTTTTTGGTAGCATTTTATTTTTTTTGTAAAAAGAAAGCTATACTACATTTAATTAAGAAACAAAAACAAACGATTGATTTATAGAGTTATTTACTAAAGTGATAATTCAAAGTCAATTTAAAAAATAAGCATAGCATAGCTGAAATGAAAGCATAGCTGACTTTCTCTCGTTTGCCTGTTTTGACCTTAAATTTTAAATTCACTTTTACATCACCTGGAATTTTCAATTTAGTGAATGGCCCTGTAAATCAAGAATATTGAGAACATACATTTTAAGGCTGAGTGGAAAACAACCAAATACATCCAAATGTCTCAGCTAAAATGCAAAACACTCCCCGAATCTCTGCCCCCCCCCAAAAAAAATCTCCTAGCAGACCAGTTTGTACAGGCTATTTAGAGAGAGTTCAAAGTGAATATAAATCAAATTTTCTAATTTAAGCAGAGAGTAGCCAAACAGAAAACATAGCTGGCTATAAAATGTTTCTAGTTTGTCTATTTTGACTCTAAATTTCAATTTCACTTTGAAATCTAACTTTACTAAATAATCCTGCATTATAGAAGAAGATAACTTGTGTGCAGAGAGGAGTTATGGAAGCATACTAGCAAAGGACACCATACTTTTCTAACTTGTTGGTCGATATTTCCATATTTTAGCATCTATACACAGATTATCTAATTGGACAAATGTCTGCTTTTTTTAACAAAAATACAGTTACAATTAATTTAAACAAATATATATATTTAATGTTAGAATGCAACATGTTTAGGTTGGTGGGTCCTCCATCCCTGTTTTATGCCCTTTATTTTAGCACCAGGTCAGTCTCCACTAGAGAAAGATTAAGAACCTACAGGGCCCTAAGCATCTAGATTACTGGTTTGTGACTGCCTCTTTCATTCTTTATTTAGAAATAGTGATTAGGGTCAAGCATTCTCAAGGTTCTGGGGCCCCTCTCTAGCCTCTGGGTCCTAGGCAGGTGCCTAAGGTCACCTTATGGTTGATCCTGTTTTTTCTCCACAAAGTAGCCACAACACCTTTAGTGAAGCCAGTGAAAAAAATCAGTTATGAAGTCTTCTGTCCAGTCCGGAGAAACGCATTGGGGACTGAAGCTACATGCGCGGCAATTTCCAGGCTCAGTTAATCAGATGCTTCTCACACAGAAGCAGCGATACAATGATTCTCTATGAGAAGCATTTAGAATATTCAGAATTATAATGACAAAGAGAGTCTAGTGGCTGTCATCCATTAGAGCAGGGGTGGGGGACCTTTTTTCTGCCAAGGGCAATTTTGGATATTTATAACATAAATCGGGGGCCGTACAATCAACTTAAAAATTAGCCTGCTATATTTGGTCAAACATTTAATTAACTCACCCCTAATGTGATGGCTGGAACTGCTTCTCTTTGGTGAGGTGTTGTTAGCTGGTATTGATGATGTTTCTACTCGCAACTGGTTTTCCAGGTTTGCGTCGTCTGCCTGGAGCGCAGTTGACTCTTTGCGATCGTAAGTTTTGAAAAGAACTGCTCGCAGCAGTAAGTTGTACCAAACACAGATGCCTATTTTAATGCATGTCTTCTCAAAGTGGGGAATTCATCATTACTTATGTAACGTTTGTAGAACTCAAGCAGTGGAAGGTTGTTGTACCTAGCTTTCAGCACATCATCGCTTTGCAGCTGAATTATTTCATGTTGTAGGTTATCAGGTACATCACCTGGTTCCATATTGAAAGGTGTAGCAGAGATGTTTGATTTAATTTGTTTACTTTACCTTCAAATGATTTAACGTTTGAAAGCAGTGAGCTGAGAAGCTGGTTGGGGCCCTGCACCTCGATGTTCAGCTCTGAGAGGTACTTGGTAATGTCCACCATGAATGCTAGATCACACAGCCACTTTCTATCATTGAGTTCCATGACAAGTTTTCCCTTCATCTCCATCAACTGCTTGACTTCATCCTGCAGTTCGTAAAACCTCCTGAGCATGTTCCCGCAACTCAGCCACCACACTTCACAGTGATAAACAAGATCACCATACTCAGTCAAGATCACTCAGTAACTCCCTAAACTGGCAGCTGTTAAGCCCTCTGGTTTTTTTGTTTTTGTTTTAATTTGACCATTTTTATTATCATTTTTGTCAAGGCATCAAACAGCTTTGGGGGAACGGGTACAGATAATCAAATAATCAAGCAGTACATAGTACCTCGTGGTTATCCCTGTCTATATTTTACTGTAGTGTGCAATAGATTTGAGGGAGGGACCTACCAACATGTTTGACACAAGGTTAACTATATATACTTGTTATACTGACATTGTTATGTAGACATTGTTATGACTTGGATAGCTTATATCCTACATTAGTGGTACTCTGGTGTACCGAGTGGACCGATCTCCATGTGTCCCAGGTGTTCCATGTCGTAAGCCCTCTGGTTTTGATACAATTTATGCATGACACTACTGTTGACATCACATTGTTGAGCCGCAACGACAGAGCACAGACCCTTTCTTGGTGTATGATTCAGTGGCATATAATGAAATCATTTGGATCAAGATTGAGACGATTCAGTTTTGTCTTGACAAATGCAACTAACCCTTTTTGTGAGCCATCCATGGTTGGAGCTCCATCTGTAGTAAGGCAACTTAACTTTTCAAATGTAAGCTCAAGTTTTTTCATTGATAAAACAAGTCTTCCAAACAAGAAGTGTCATGCATGGCTTGCAATGAAAGCAGTTCCTCTCGTGTGTCAAGTACTGTAGTTACCCCACAAACAAAAACAGCCAGTTGAGCAGTATTTGTTATGTCCGTTGTCTCGTTACAAACCAGAGAGAAAAATTGGAAATCCCGTGCAGAATCCTTTAGTATTTTTTCAATATCTTGTGCTAAGTCAGTAATCCGATCTGTGACGGTTCTATGAAAACTAACTCTCTGAAACAATTTTACTTTGTTTGTTGCTAACAACTCCGAAGCAGTCTTTCACAAGCTCTCCCTCTAGATGAGGCCTGAGCTTCTTTGTGATTAGCTCACTCACTACATAACTCGTCTGAATAACATTATCTCTGTCATGACGAGGTCTAGTGAAAGTGGCTTGGTGTGATCCAAACTCCGCTGAAGAGCATTGATTTTATCCAGATGCAATTGGCCTCCCAATTCTTTGAGTTTAGCATGTTTTTAGCTGTAATGACACTTCAGATTTGCTTTTTTCATTACTGCTAATGCATCGCCACAAACTAGGCACGCAGGTTTGCCTTTGACTTCAACCAAAAAATTACTTTTCTTTTCTTTGTAGGCGCCATTTATATGATGTCACGCCACTTTTTATAGTTTTAATAACTATCCGGTGCACTTTCGCCTCCCTGGCACTGACTATCCTCTGAGCAGGTCCTGACTGGGAATTCAAAGCAGGCTGAGAAAAAGTTTGTGCCAGCCGTATAAGTTTATTATGTAACGGTAGATACAGAAACACAAGCTCACTGATACACATGCTCACTACAGACAAGCTCACTGACACACACATGCCACATGCTCACTACAGACAATTTCACTGACACACATGCCCACTACAGACAAGCTTTTTGGCACACATATGCTTATTACACAGTCTACAACCACCCTCAACACAATCTGCAATGCCCACAACACAATCTGCAATCCCCCAAACACAATCTGCAATCCCTCACCACCCCAAAACACAATCTGCAATCCCTCCCCCCCCAAAACACAATGTAATCCCTCACCAACACAAAACACAATCTGCAATCCCTCATCCCCCAAAAACACAATGTAATCCCTCACCCCCCAAAAACACAATCTGTAATCCCCCCAAAAATCCACAATCTGTAATCCCCCAGCCCCACACAGCACAATCAGCAATCCCCACAAGACAATCTGCACCCACCAAGCACACCCAAAAACACAATATGCAACCCCCTCCCCAGTCTACAAAACTCCTATCCTGCCGCATTGTAGAAAGCATTTCAAATAGGAAAGCCAAGCAGGGTAACAATATTTTTGTCAGCAGCAACGACGGAGCCCAGCGCTGGATAAAGGTAAGTGGCTGAAGGGGTTTTAACCCCTTCAGCCCAGTGGGAGGGGGGCCCTAAGTATTATATAGTGTCAGAAAAACACGTTTATTTTCCTGACACTATAGTGGTCCTTTACGATGTCCGCTGCTGACTGGCTCCATGTGCTCCTTAAGATATCTGCTGCTGACAGGTGACCGCCGCACTTAGACCCACTCCAGTCAGAGCGGGTCCTTCCGCCCCTTCAGGAAACACCGTGAAGGCGGAGCATGTTGGTATGTGACGCTGCGCGCCTTCACGGTCCTCCTCCACATAATAAAAGAGTGCAGCTGCCCGGCTTTGACCAACGAATTGCCTGCAGTGCCATGTTGGGCCTGACCAAATGATTTCCAGATGTGCCCCACCCCTGCCCAAATCCCACAATATAATCAGCAGTCCCCCAATTCATAATCAGTAATCCCCAATACAATCAGCAACCCCCCAATATATTCAGCAATCCCCCAGTATTTTCAGCAATTCCCCAGTATATTCAGCAATCTCCCAATCCCCACATCTCCCAATCCCCCAATCCCACAATATAATCAGCAATCCCCGAATACATTCAGCAATCCCCTAATATATTCAGCAATCCCCCAATACATTTAGCAATCCCCTAGTATATTCAGCAATCTCCCAATCCCCACTATATAATCAGCAATCCCCCAATACATTTAGCAATCCCCCAATATATTCAGCAATCTCCCAATCCCCACAATATAATCAGCAATCCCCCAATACACAATCTGCAATCCCTCCAGCACACTCACAACCACAATCTGCAACCCCTCCAGTCTACAAACCCCTACCCAGATCCTTAAGATAGTATCAATTTTATAAAGCATTTAAAATACATTAGAGAAGCAGAGCAACGCACAATATTTGATCAGTTCAGGAGCCTTGTGCTCCCTCAAAGATGTCTGCCGCTGACAGGGAACCTCCGCACTCAGACCCACTCCAGTCAGAGCGGATCCTTCCGTGCCTTCTGTTAACACCATGAAGGCGGAACACGTGACACTGCGCGCCTCCACAGTCCTCCTCCACATAATTAAATAGTGCTGCTGACCGGCTGCCTACAGTGCCATGGGGGACCGGATCAAATGATTTCGTACGTTACCCACCCCTGCATTAGAGGCTTGGTATCAGACAAATATAAGCATTGCAGTTGCTCAGAAATGTCAGTGCTTTACATTTTCCAATAAAAAAAGGACATGGTTTTGATGCTTAGAGTGTCCCTTTAAACATTCTGACTACTCAAAAATGTATTCTTTAACCAACGTTTTTTGATACTTTTTTATTCCTTGTGTTATTGCTGCAATGTCTATCAGTTAGCACAGCTTTCCATATCACTTGAATTTGCTGAGAATAGCAAAATCACACATTTCCTCTCATTGTATAATATATGCTGACATCTATCACAGCAGCGTGAAGATGAATACACAGATCAAATTACACAGCAAATGTAATTGAGTCAGGTTGTGGAAGACAGCATGATATAAGTGTTTTGTCTGATGAATAAGCAAGAAAATGTCAATATGAAGTTAAAAGCATATTTAATAGGTTTCTAAGACCCCCTCCCCCTCACCCCATCTCATATCAACCAAAATATGAAAAAGCACTGACTGTTCTTTCTCTAATGCCCATTTCTGACAACTCATGTTTTAACATTTTGTTTGATTCTGTAGCATTTTTTTTTCTTGCAATAGGAAAAGTTTAAATAAAAGACATTTACCCAATTAACTCTGGAGTGATTAGAGATGTTTTGCAAAGATAGTTGAAACTATGCAAATTTGCTAATGGATTTAACCATATGCAGGAGGGCATCTCAGAAAATGGAATCACAGCGAGACCTGACATCTGAAAGATAGAGAGGAGTAAATAATAAAAATATGGAGAAAAAAAAATTAGATGGCCATTTTTATTCTTAAAGAAACACTCTGGGCATTAACACAACCTAAATGCATTTGACAAGTTTGGGCCTCATATTTATGCTGTTTTACTGCCTGTTCAGATCTTGTTAGTTCTAAAAAGCTCCTTGCGGCATAACCCGCCCCTTTGTCATACACCTACTTTTTCACAAAACATCTTCCTGATTGAAAGGTATGCAGAGTAGCTCAGTCAGTTAGCTCTGTTGACTTGACTCCGCCCCACAGCCGATTACTAGTATTACTAAACTCTGCTAAGAGTCCCGAAACGGACTGTGGGGTGAAGTCAAGTCAGATTCGCAGCTCACACGGATGTCTCATTGCCTGTGCTGAGTATATGTATCGTAACTACTGTCAATCGAAACGTGAATAATGGGTCAGAGTTATGTTGCAGAAAGCTGAACCCCAGAAAAACACAGCATGAATATGGCTGGAGTGTTCCTTTAACCCCTTAAGGACTGGACTGTTTTTGCGATGTTGTACATTTGCAACCAGGCATATTTTTACACTTTTGTGGTGTTTGTGTTTGTCTGTAATTTTCCGCTTTCTCATTTACTGTTCCCATACAAATTATATATTGTTTTTTTCAGGACAAAAGGGGCTTTCTTTACATACCATTATTTATATAATCTCATGTATTTTAATTTAAAAAAAATAAAAAAATATGATGAAAAATTGAAAAAAATACATGTTTTTTGACTTTTACTTGAAAAATCTTTTACTCATCTACAAAAGCGAATGGAAAAAAACTGCTAAATAGATTCAAAATTTTGTCCTGAGTTTAAAAATACCTAGTGTTTACGTGCTTTTTTGCTTTTTTTTGCATGTTATAGGGCTATAGGTACAAGTAGGATATTGCGGTTTCAAAACATACATTTTAAAATTTATCAATAGTGACATTGTAACACTATTATCTGTCATAAATCTCTGAATAACACCCCACATGTACATATTTTTTTTAAAGTAGACAACCCAGGGTATTCAATATGGGGTATGTCCAGTCTTT